TGTTCAAGTTCTGGCGCATATTCAAACGGAGAGGCGAAGAAAATATTGTACAAAAAAACTTGAACTTTTTAAATGTCATTTCTAAAATCACAAAAACGGAATTTTTCTTTTATTGGAAAATTGATGCTTGATTTTTGTCAAGTAAACACGTAACTTTAACATTTTTATTGAAATTGTGAAAGAACATCCTTTCACGGAAAGGTCAGGTTTGATATATGTAGTATCTAAAAATTTTTACATACAAAACTACATACAAATTTGAAAATAAATTTTGTTAGACCATCAAAATAATTACTTATTTTTAATATTATTTTAGCAATTAGTTGGAACGTTCAAATAGAACGTTGCTAAAATATCAAAGTTTTTTGCTGCATTATTCATTATGAAATTGTGAATGTTTTATAGAGAATTTTAACAAAATTATATATATTTTTAGGTTTGTATCTAATTTTAGCAAATTTAAATTTTAGCAAAAGCACACTTTCCCTGTTGCTTCTACTTGAAAACCACAATAGATACCTTGTTTGTTAATTAATTAAATTATTAATGATTATGAAAAAAGATATCTTATATATATATATATCTCACGAAAATTTCATATTCTTTATTTCTTTGATTTTCATATACATTTCTTTATACTACTTTGTGTAATTAAAATGTAATATGTAAATGTAAAATAAGATGTATTTAATTAATGTTGGATAAGCATTAATTTCCACTTCGCACAGTTTCGTACTGTTTTCACATATACGAGAACACTAACAGATAGATTATTGGACTTATTTTACGTAACGGATATGTTCCATGTCGCATTGACAAAAAGAGCATTCACCGTATTAACATCGTGTTGAATGATGAATTGCTAGTACTGTACTGTACTGATGCGTTTCGGTTGATTGCGCCGCGAATAAAGAAATAGCTAATCGCTTACATAGAGTTAACAGCCGTATCAAATCCATTGATCAAAGTAATGTCTCGTACGATTAATCATTGTTTGTCGACTGCTTTACACAGTGTTACGTATTGTCAGTTTCCGAGCACTGCTAAACAAATAACTGAATGTAAGAGTGTTTGCGCGTCCACATATACATAAAAAAGACTTGAATTTTATGCAGCTTGCTTATTAAGTCCGGTAAAGGATAAAACAAAGTACAAGTTTAAAGCGATTATAAAAGATACAGTTCCTACAATGTATAAACAATATTTAATGTAATACATGACAAAATCCCTTAATTATTATTCCGAATTATTGCATTTCGCAACTTGGCCAATTGCCATTTATCATCGCATTAAAATTACGCGAGTCATGCATATAGAAATTTTTAATCAGTGACGTTAATCTCATTACTTAAGCTGGTACGCAAGCTTAATTTTACTCACAAACGCAAAAATAACGCTAGTTTAACATCGTTTAACCTTCTAAAACTTGTGTGAATTAACACAAAATTAAAAATTATTTACAGTACAATAATTGAAATAAAGGCGCAGCTTTTAGTACAACGTAAAAGCTATTTAAAAACATAAATATCCAAGTTTAAATTTACATTGGACCATGCTAATTTTTTAAGCTGATTCTCGATAACTGTTTTCTATTTTCATTTCGCGTTTCCGTATCGGATTAATTGTAAGAATTCTCTCACAAAAGCTCTTACGTTGCTGGGTGCAGGTAGTGGACGCTCAACATCGCGAATAAACGAGCGATCACCTACCAGTGTTCAACCGGCCGAGGAGAACGAAAGCGACAAATTGCAGGAACTTTTTCGATTAAAGTCTCGCTTGCTCGGCGCGATTCAAAACCTTTCTCGGTCAAGTTTCCACTCTCAGCGAGACACACAATCCGGCATAAATAAGGACGTTCCTTCGCGAAAGGATAGCGAAGCTAGAGAAACAGCTGTAAAAGGCAAAGCTTTGTCTCCCTGCTGAATTTCACATTAACAATGGTAGAACGTAAAGAGAACGACCATTGAACAACAATTACGACATGTAAGGTTACGTCATTGCCAAACTACAACGAGAGAGAGGGAGGAGAAAATGCTTTGCTGGAGAAAATCGTGGACAGTCACATTCCAATTAAGTAAGTAGTTGCAGCAGCGTGAATTGAATCCTTAATAGGATCCATTTGACAAAATTGCCAATTTAAATTATTCTTTATGGTGGCTTTTACCCCTCTCTTGTTCTTTCTTGCTTCCTCTATTCTTGCTAATATCCTTTTACTCTCAAAAGTCGTCACAGCAGAATACCATGAAAGATATCAAGAGTCACGTTAAATTCAGCACAATTTGATCATCCGTTAAAATAAAACTAATAAAGAGAGACCAGTTATCAAATAATACTTAGAAAACTTATATTATTCCCGTAGGATACATGGCATGGCGATAATATGTCCAGGGTGGTATCGCCATAAAAGCGCACGCTTTTGTTCCGTGCGGTCACGTCTGTCGTGTACAGAACGCAAAAAGGAAATGTTAAAAATTTCCGCTGTGAAATATTTACCGGACAAACGTTTGTCGCTGTAACTGTCAAGTAACCTTTAAAAGCGTCAACTGGAAGTCATATAGGATACAGCTCCAAAGCGATCGTCGTCAGAGTCGTAGAATATTATCAACAAATTTGTTATAACTATTATAATCATACTGTTTTTTTAACTTTCGTCTCTCTCTCTCTCTCTCTCTCTCTCTCTCTCTCATATTTTTTTTATTTTACCAAATACCGTTACTATTACATCTAGCTTTGATATTTGAAGAGGATATAAAATCGTAATCATGTTACAAATTATTAACTGTGTCGTCATCTCTCAATATTTACTGCTCTGCTGGAACACTCCGAATCGCCACTTGCACCTCGTACTCGCACAAAATGCTCGCTCGAATAGTCCCCTTTTTCCGCTAGTTTCTCACAAAAATAGGAACGTCAAGTACGAGAACAATTTTCCGACGTCTCTGCAGCGTGCAGTCTCACGCGGAAACTTTTCTCCCTCGAGAAAAGGAGAAAAGGTATATTTCTGCCTGCAATTAGTGCACTTTAACGAAGTCATTGTCTCGTTGCATTTTTCGTACTTCTTTTCAACTTGAAATGCGATTTTACGAAAAGGACCTCATTATAAGAAACTGTTGTATCCGATGATTTATCAATGTGCAATTGATGGACGTCCTTTTATGACATCGATATAAGATGAATCAAAAGTACGGAAATAATAAAATTACACAAAGCATGAAATAGGATATTAAGTACTTCGTAAACTGTTTCAAATTTTGTGATCTATTTTTTGTTTCCAACAACGTATAAACAGAAAAATTGTTTATACTCTACAAATTTTCTTAAGCTTTTGATACTATATCATAATAACGTTTTTCCCGTGTGTATAAAAGCAAATTTGCAAATATGCACGAGGTTGAAATATTCAATTTAACGCAGCCCAAAAAAAAACAAGCGTTGATAGATATGAAGTACATCATCAAGATAGGTCGACGGCTCTGCATGAAAAATATTTATTCGATAAAACTTATTATTCTGTTGTTTGCACAGAATAATAATAATAATGTACATCCTACTCTCGCGAGAGAACCGATAATTTTGGCTCAATTTGCGATTAACTTATCTTCTGCCGCGAAAAAAGTTTGCATAAAATCGTGCGAATGAAGAGCGGCCGTGCCAGATGAGAGCAGAGATAAAAAGAAGTCGAGGAAAGAAGAAAAACGACTTGAGTGGTGATGGAGAATCAGCGATTAGTTAAGACAAAGAAGCAAGGTGCAAGGGCAGTAGAACTGGCAAAATTGAGGAGTTCTCGTTAACCTAAGGAGATGCTCTCTTCTTTCGTACTACAGCGAACGATTCACGACTTTGCGTTGGTCATTTTTCTCGAGAAATTTCTAATGTTTCCGAAAAGCGTGTCATCATGATTGACACATTTTTTTATCTTGGATGTACACTTATTAGCCATTCAATTAATAGCTTTTTATTAGCAAATGTTTTCTATAATTATTATAGATACTTCGATAAAAGGATTTGTGAATTAAAAATTTCGAACATACAGATTTAACACTGTAAAAAAGATTACATGTAAAATTACAATACTTGTGCTGGATAATTTTGGGACCTATTATTAAAGGTTTACATTTACACATGTAAAGTCATAACTTACCGATAAAATATTATTCTACTTTATAGTAGGTAATATAATTCTTTTTTATAATTTTATTAATTTAAACAATTTAAAAATAAATTTACAATTAAAGTTGAATTTATAGAAATATTTACGTATTAATTCTTCAACGAAGTACATATGATCTTTCTTAAATTACATTATTAATAATTACCAAAATTAAAATGCAAATATAATATATGTGATATACTATCAGTATATTATAAAATATAACATAATTAAAAATATAATATAATAAAATTATATATTATATACAATAATATAACAAAAATCTTTATAATACACATAAAAATTATAATTAATATACTATTGTAATTTTTTGTCTAATATAAAGCGATATTTACACGATTAACGATAAAAGTATTAATTTTTTAAGAACAATTTTATATTATTTTTATTGTATATTATTTTTATATATTATTTTATATTATTTTATATTACCTTTATATTTTCACTGTTGCAAATTTTGCATATATTATTTATGTAATTTTATATACTTTTTTACAGTGTGCGCGACAGAAGTTGAATACATAAATATTTATATTACTTTTAGCTATGTACATCGTCAACCGTACCGAGAGAAAAATGTTTAGTATTTGTAACAATAATTATATGCTAAAATACATATGGTTAGCAACTCCATTTTTCAGTTAATTACTGCTACAATATTAGTATAATATGCATAGTTGGCACCAAAAGTGATTATAAATTGTAGTTAAATTACAATATAATTGCAAAAAAATTTCTTTCTTTCAATACAAAATATATACAGTGCACAAAACATTCTTGGCACGATTTTGAGGCATTGAACTTTCAACGGCGTGTCTATCTGTTATAGCGTGAAAACGGACTTGATGGAAGAGGGGGCCAATTCGACTCTCAGCATAGCTAAAGTCGGACCTTCGGATAGCGGAAATTACACCTGCCAGCTTACCACCATGCCGGACCAACCCGCCACAGTTCACGTTCACGTTTTGAACGGTGAGGATAATTTATTTCTCGATATTTTTCGATTGCTCTTTTGTGCAATCACTTTTATCATCGTAGCGTATGAAATGTACGATGTTGTTATCTAATTCAGTTGCGTTATATAGGACATATCAAAACACTGCTACAATAAAATTTATATATATATATATATATATAT